ACGGAGAGCGCCGCCAAGTCCCATCGGATCCCCTCGCAGCCTCCGCTCGGATCTCGCGATGCCTCCGCGGCGATTCGCGACTAAGCTGCGCTCGGGTTGAGGCCCGGAGCGCCGGGGACGCCTTCGCCGTCTTCCGTCGTGCTGTCGCCGTTGACCTGTTCGCCCCCCGCCGCCGCCGACCCGCTTCGCCAACCGCACCATCGGCGACGTAGCCCTAGGCCGAAGAGGAATCCGTTGGGGTTAAGAGAGCGGCACCCGCGGAAGCGGACGCCGCAGAGCCACCGTCGGGGAAATCCCTCCTGAGATTGACGCCGTGGGTTTCACGCAGAACGGAACCCGCGGAAGCGGACGCCGGGGGAGCCGCTGTCTCCCCCAGGTCCCTTCTTCAATTGACATTTGGCCTGCAGGCAGTAGGGGGGCAGCACTTCCCCGTCCCCCCGCCCTGCCGACATGGGAATAATGCTCGATCACGTGACGGTCGAAACCCGTTATCTTGAATCCTGATTGTTTATGATGTGTCTGGACCGAGTGCTGAATGAAATTGAAATTTTACGGTGTTGTTGTTGTTCTTGTTGTTGTTGTCTTCGTGTGCAGTCACCAGCGACCCGGGGGCTGAGACCATCAACCTCGCTACACTTGAGACAACCCCGCTTTAGTCACGGGCAGCGGCCGAAACCTGGATCGGAGCCCAGCCTCTCAGCGCTGCTGGGCCCGCACCCTGACCTCTTACCCTGCCAGCCTCCTCCACAGGTGTCCGTCGCTTCCCGTACTCTGCACAGACGCTCTCGCACGACCGGTCGACCGGTCGATCGGTCTTATATATATATATTTTTTTTACTTTACCCGCCGATATTGCCCTCGGTCGGGTGCGCGTCACATCGTCGAAACGTTCACCTCCGATGGAGAAACGGCTGGCTACGCGCGGGTACGAAGGAAGCTCAACGTACGTACGTGCAAGCTCGCCGCCACAGTTATTACACACTGGGGACGGCACTTTAACGCTGCCGCCCTGAGCCCGGAGTTTAAAATGCCGCATTGTGGTACGCCGGGGAATCGGCGGCCAGGGCCAGACCCCCGATTTTGTTATCTGAAGTGGAGGTTCGCCCGCTGACGAGTCAACCGTTCAATCAAACGCAAACTTTATTTCTATAGCACTATTCGCGCAAACAAAAAATGCAATACGTAGTACTTTACAGGCATGAGCAATGAAAGTGAAATTGTAGGGGGGGGAAAAACAGCACGTTGTAAACAAATTTCCGTCAAGGACGTAAGAAATAACACTTGAAGAAAATCCTAATTAAAAGCGAGTAAAAAAAAGTTCGTTTTTATTTATTTTCAAAGTGCTTAACAATTCCCTGGCATCTTTTTTTATTCTTTCGGTAAAGTCACGTAGAATGAGAATAAAATAATAAAATAATAAAACAAAATAACACAAGAAAATTCTCACGACGTTTCGGCCACAACACAAGTGGCCTTCTTCAGGTGATAGGAACAGACCTGTCGGGACGACAGAGCTTCATTGAAGCTTCAATGAAGCTCTGTCATCCCGACAGGTCTGTGTTCCTTTCACCTGAAGAAAGCCACTCGTGTTGTGGCCGAAACGTCGCGAGAATTTTATTGTGTTATTTTATTAATTTATTATTTTATTCTCATTCTACGTGACTTTACCGAAAGAACCATAGAAGATGAATCCTTGCAGTCACGAAAGCTTTAAATCGAAAGATTCCCTGGCAGGCTGTTTCATAGGCGAGGACCCGAAACACTAAAAGCCACTTCTCCGTATGTTTTGGTGCTGGCCTTTGGGACAACTTAAAAGACCAACAACCGGGCCGGGATCCAGAATCTCTATTGAGGCCTAGAGAAATCTCCCTCTCTTTCTCACTGCGCGCGCGCGCTCACACGTACGGTACTGCACCGTACGGACGCGTCAAGGCGCACCACCCCCCCCCCGCCGCAGTACCCAGCGCCTTGGGAACATCGCCTGGCCCCCGAATTCGTCGAAGGCTCCCGGTTGCCCCGCGAGGCTCTGCGCGATGCGGTTACATCTCGCGGCGGCCTAATTGACCTTGCTTGCTTTTGTCTCATTCAGGGCGGCCACCCTTTCCTCACCCCACCCCCCATCACCCCCCCCCCCCCCCCCCACACACACACACAACCCTCTCCCTGGATAATCGAGCCTTGACGATAATGGCTTCTCAAATCTACCTCCAGACGACGTGGTGGTGAGCGGAGCGTGCCTGCGGGTTGACGAACATGCGTTTTGCGATGTATTCTTTTTTATAAAAAAAAAAGTTTTTATCGTTACCAGGGTAAAGGCCCCACCGCTGAGCTGCATAGCGCTTTTTCGCAAGCGACCCGGGCCATCACAGATGATAGCGCAACGTAGTGGCTTATTATTTGTCGTCATCATGTGAAAATGTACAGCAGCGGCCAAATGCTCTAAAATGCGCGATGTTGATTCTAAATGTGGAGGGGAAAACCGGAGGACCCGGAGAAAAAGCCACGGGACCACGCCGAGAGATAGGGAGGCACGCAGACTCCAAATATACAGCAGCAGCAGCAGCAGCAACAGGCGTCGGGGCCGGGATAGAACCCACGACCTCCTGCATACCAGGCGAGGTAGTTAACATTTCCTAGCCATCGTGGTGATGATGATGAGAGAGAGAGAGACGCAGACTCCAAATATACAGCAGCAGGTGTCAGGGGCCGGGATAGAACCCACGACGTCCTGCATACCAGGCGAGGCAGTTAACATTTTCTAGCCATCGTGGTGATGATGATGAGAGACGCAGACTCCAAATATGCAGCAGCAGGCGTCAGGGGCCAGGATAGAACCCACGACCTCCTGCATACCAGGCGAGGTAGTTAACATTTTCTAGCCATCGTGGTGATGATGATGAGAGAGAGAGAGACGCAGACTCCAAATATGCAGCAGCAGGCATGGTCAGGAGTCCGGATCGAACCCACGACCTCCTGCATACCAGGCAAGGTAGTCAACATCTCCTAGCCCACCGTGGCGCTCCCTGCTAAAGGGCTGTGTGGCCTGAGTGGGGGCCGTGCCATGCTGAGCCGGTTCCGGCCGTTCTGTTTCTTTCGTCCCGTGTGTGCGACAGTCACGCCCGGCGGCATTCGCTTCCCGTCGATAAGCGTCGACGGGTGGAGCTGCGTCTCTCTGGGTCTGATCGTCAGGAGGCAAGGTCGAGGGGTGGGGCGGGGGGTAGGGGAGAGCGAGAAAGGGCCTGGGTTCGATTTCCGATTTGGGTGCACTTTCTCCGTGGAGTTCGTGTCAAGATTGGCCTCTGTGGAGGATGAGGAGGCTCGCGAAAGACCCTGCCTGGGCAGTTGTAGGCAGTCGCACTCCAGCAGCAACAATGGAGGGCAGAGGAGCGACGCTCACAACAACGAGCGGGGCGCCAGGCGGATAAAACACAGCGAGTTGGCACAGTAGGGGGAAAAGGTGGTGCATCTGCCAGTTGTCTCGGTTAGTCAACCCATGGCACCTGCTGGGTCTGTCCCGTGACCTCCTGCCGGCGAGCGTTCGACACTTTGCGCGGCCTTAAAGTGCGCCGTGACGTCACCGCCATTTAATGGCGAATATCGTTTGTTGTTGAGTGTATGCGAGTGAGTGGGAATTCCTCTGGTACAGCCATGGAAAGCTTCTCGAATTACGTTGTCAAAAATGATGTTAAATAATGTGAGAGCCAGAGGACATCCCTGTCGCACCCCAAGTTGAACAGGGAATGGCTCGGACTCCTGGCCACTTAGCTAAACCCGGGCCCACTCACTATCATGAAGGCCCTTAATGATCATGAGCGGAGAGTCAGGGACGCTCATGATCAACAAAGAACAGCCCAGAGCCCTGGCCTGTTGATGCTATCATAGGCCTTGACCAGGTCAATAAAGCAGAGATGTAGGTCTTGTTGGAATTCTCTACACGCACAGGGAATATGGCATCTGTGCAGGACCGCCCTGACCTGAAACCACATTTGGATTCCGCAAGCCTCTCCTCAGCATGCCTAGCAAGACACAATGTTGAATAATCCTTGCCAGGATCTTTCCCAGCACACTGAGGAGCGAGATGCCCATGTAGTTATTACAGACTGTGTGGTCCCCCTTCTTAAAGAGGGGGACCACCAGGGCATCCTTCTAATCCTACGGAACCCGTCCTGTTGTCCAGACAATTGCGGTGATGTCATGTAGGGCAGTCTGGACACAGACGCCACCCTCCCTCAATATTTCACTTGGGAGATCATCTCTGGAATTTCCATCTGGTACAGATACAATGGGAGGCTGATCGATGCCTTGGTGCTGTCGAGGGATGGCTCCCTATTGGTTAACCGTGTTATGTATGCCGATGATCTGGTGATTGCTGCTCGCTCAGAGAAGGAGTTTGAGGCACTGCTGCTGAACCTAGAGCATGGGGCCTTACCATTAGCCCCACCAAAACTAAGCACCTGCCTGAGTATTTTGTGCCATCAAACACTCCACCCCCTCAACTCCCCATTGGTGATGGAGCAATTGTGGAGAGAGTGGAGAGTTTTCCACACCTGGGCAGTGTGCTTATGACTGGCTCCGGGTTGCCAACAGAGGTCTCACTCCGGATAAGTCGAGCGGCATTATATTTTCACTGGCTGCGTAACGCTGTGTGGAAGCTACCTGGTCTGTCGCTCCACATTAAGCTTCACGCTTTCTCAGCCACGGTCATGCACTCCCTTCTCTACGCTTGTGAAACATGGACACCCCCCCCCCCCAATGGAACATCTTCGCCGGTTAGAAACATTTAGGCTGACCTGCTCACGATCCATCCTCGGTTTTAACAGGGATGGATTGTGTGAGGAGCTCACAAATCCGCGAAAGATCTGGACAAAGTCCCATCGCTGAGCTCCTCCAGCAGGCAAGGCTCCATTGGCTGGATCATGTAGCCCGCATGCCCAGCCACTGCATGCCCAAACAGCTTCTGTTTCGCTGAATAGAGGGGATTAAGCAGGCACGGCACGGGCTGGAGAAGAGATGGACCGATGCGGTACAGGAGGACGTGGAGCTGAGTGGACTTGCCGATGACCGGTACCAGCGGTGTCAAGACCGGCCTCTGCGGAGGAGGAGGCTCGTGAAGGACGCCGCCACTGGGCAGTTGGAGGCAGTCGCCCTCCAACAACAACGGAGGGCGGAGGAGCGACTGCTCACAACAACGAGCGGAGCGCCGGGTGGCTAAAGCGCAGCAGGTTGGCACAGTAGGGGGGGGGGGGGCACAGGTGGTGCATCGGCCACCGCGAACCTCGGCACGAGAGCCGAGTTCGAACCCCGCTCGCACCTGGTGCGTGGTGCATGCAGCCAACAAAGCCGGGCGTGGCGCTCGCCACCCACCCGGCCCCCCACCCCGTGCCCTGTGCCGCTGCTCGCCGGCGCCCCCCCCCCCCCCCACCGTGGCCCCTTGAGTGCGGCCCCTGACGATACGCAAAGAGTAACGAAAACTCCCCACCACGGCCGAACATCATCGCCGTGCTGCTATCGAACCCCCACACCCCTCCCCCCCCCCCCCCCCCCAGCAGCTAGGCGGCCCCTCCTCGGCACCACGATGACGAATCGTCGGCGTGCGCCCCCCCCCCCCCCCGTCCCCCCCCCCCCCCCCGTCCCCCAAACCCGCCACGCTTCCGCTGCCCCCGCCGCGTCTGAAAATCGGGCGAAGAACGACGACTAGGCCCAGAGGCAACGGGGGTGGGGTGGTGGTGGGTGGGGTGGGGGTGGGTGGGTGGGGTGGGGTGGGTGTCAACCCCACCCCCCCCCACCCCCCCCACCCCCCCCCCCCCCCCCCGCTGTGACACACCAACGTAAAGCGGCGGCGACGTCGGTGGGACGCGGGGGGAGGTCGCCAGCGGATCCTTTTCTCCTTGCCGTCGTCGTTGTTGTTGTCCCGCCTCCGCCCCCATCCCCCACCGCCCCCACCGCCCCCGTCCCTCCCTGCGCGCAGGCCGGGAAACATGAAGGAGGAGGAGGAGGAGGAGGAGACGCGGTTCATGTGCCCCGTGTGCAGCTGGGTGCTGGTGAGCCAGCCGGCGCTGCAGGACCACATGAAGCGGCACGTGCGGCCCGGCGACCACACGCCGCCGCCGCCGCCGCCGCCGCCGCCGTCGACGCAGCAGCAGCAGCAGCAGCAACAGCAGCAGCATGAGTGCGAGCAGTGCCCCTACAGCACCGACCGCCGCTGCAACCTGGAGATCCACGCCCGCACCCACGCGGCCGCGGCCGCGGCCGCGGCCGCCGAGAAGCCGTTCAAGTGCGGCGACTGCGGCAAGGCGTTCGCTCTCGCCGGCAACCTGCAGATGCACCAGCGCAGCCACGGCGGCGGCGGCGGCGGCGGCGGCGGCAACAACAAGACGCAGCCGTCGCTGCCGCAGCCGCCGCTGCCGCAGCCGCCGTACCAGTGCACGGCATGCGGGAAGGTGTTCGCCTGGCTCGGCGAGTTCCACGGCCACCTGGCGTCTCACGCGGCCACCGGCGGTAACGGCGGCAACGCCGGCGGCAACGGCAACAACGCCGGCGGCAACGGCAACGGCAACGGCAACGGCGGCAACGGCGGCGAGAAGACGTACACGTGCGGCGTGTGCGAGAAGGAGTTCGCGCAGCCCGAGCGCCTGCGCGAGCACCAGCGGTCGCACGCGAGCGGCGAGAAGCCGTACATGTGCGGCGACTGCGGCAAGGTGTTCACCTACACGGCGAGCTTCAAGAAGCACCTGCGCTCGCACACGGACGAGAAGCCGCACGCGTGCGCCGAGTGCGGCAAGGTGTTCACCCACCTGGGCAACCTGCAGAGGCACGAGCGCTGCCACGTCGACGGCAAGCCGCACAAGTGCAACGAGTGCGGCAAGGAGTTCACCTACACGGCCAGCTTCATGAAGCACCTGAGGACGCACACGGAGGAGAAGCCCTTCATGTGAGCGGCCCGGAGCGAGCGTGGAGGAGCGAGCGAGGGAGCGAGCGAGGGAGCGAGCGAGGGAGGGAGGGAGGGAGCGTCGCGCAAGGCAGAAGAGGAGAGACACCTTCCCCCTGACCCCCCACCTCCCAACCCTGCGTGCTGCGTGGGGTGACGGCGGTGACGGCGGTGACGGCGGTGACAGCGGCGGCGGCGGCGGCGGCGGCGGCGGCGCAGCTTTGCCAGCAGTGGGGGCGACGGCGACAGCGGAGGGAGGAGGGAGGATCGACCGGTGGATGGATTCGACGGTTCGCAGGTGGAGCGATTTCGGATTGGGTTGTCGCAAGATTCAGGGCCGCGGTCGAACCAGAGAGTTCACTAACTTAGTTCGTATCACCGCTACTTACTGCTTACTGCTACTACGACGAGCTCGGCGAGGCCCGGCTGACCGCCGCCACCACCGGCGGCCCCGCGGGCGCGCCGCGGTCGCCCTCGGGGTCAGGTCAGACTCCGCTGTTCGCGCCCGGCAGCCGACCGGGCGGTTGCCGCTCGCGCCATCGCCCGCTGCAGTCCCGATGACTAAAACAAAACAAAAAAACGGAAAAGACGGGAGAGAAAAAGGCCGCGGGACTGCAACTCCAAGGGGGGCCTCCACTGGAAGGGGGAAACCCCCTCTCCCCCCCCCCCCCCCCCAAAGAGAGAGAGGGAGGGAGGGGGTGGGCGCGGGGTATCAGTGGTCGTGAAACTCGTCCACACCGGCCCAGACGTCTTGGACGAGGTGGAGGCCGTAGACTTTAACCGTTGGCGGCAATGCCACTCACGCGGCAGCGGCTGCTGGCTGTGGACAGTGGTGTTCGTGGCGGTGTTGGTGGTGTTGATGATGATGGCGGTGGTTATGGTGGTGGCGGCGATGGTGATGATGGTGGTGGTGGTGGCGGTGGTGATGATGTTAGCGGCGGTGGTGGTAGTGATGATGGTGGTAGCGGCGGCGGTGGTGATGATAGCGGTGGTGGTAGTGGTGGTGATGATGATGGTGGTGGCGGTGGTGGTAGTGATGATGCTGGTAGCGGCGGTGGTGGTGATGATGGTGATAGCGGTGGTGGTAGTGGTGGTGATGATGATGGTGGTGGTAGCGGCGGTGGTGGTGATGATGGTGGTAGCGGCGGTGGTGGTGGTGAAGATGGTGATAGCGGTGGTGGCAGTGGTGGTGATGATGATGGTGGTGGCGGCGGTGGTGGTGGTGATGATGGTGGCGGTGGCCGATGGCGGTGGCGGTCGTGATGACAACGGTCGCGGGGACGCTGTGGTTCATGGAAAAATCCTCCGTGAAGAGCCATCGGCCCAGCAAGACGGCTGAACCACCGCGCCGGATTTCAAGAGGTGGCCACGGTGGTTCGGACAAAACTCGGCAGCCTGCTGCTGGTGCTGCTGCTGGTGCGGCAACGTGAGCACTTCTTAGACAGACGTCCCCCCACTCAACGTGATCCCCAGATACTACCCCCCCACCCACCCCATTCCACGTTGTGGCTTTGACTCGGAAGTTCCCCCGACACATCGACAGCGACGGCAGCCGCGCTCCGGTTGCGATGCGTCCGCCGTTTGTCGCGCGCGACAGAACTGTGCCCCGCGTTGTCGCCAGGGGAACCGTGGCATCGCTAAGGAGACCTGCGGCGTTGCTAGGAAACCTGCGTCATCGCTAGGAGACCACGTCGCTAGGAGACCTGCGGCCTTGCTAGGAGACTGCGTTGTCGCTAGGAAACCTGCATCATCGCTAGGAGACCCGCGTCATCGCTAGGAGACCGCGTTGTCGCTTGGAGACCCGCGGCGTCGCTAGGAGACCCGCGGCGTCACTAGGGGACCGCGTTGTCGCTTGGAGACCCGCGGCGTCGCTAGGAGACCCGCGGCGTCACTAGGGGACCGCGTTGTCGCTAGGAGACCCGTGGCGTCGCTAGGAGACCCGCGTCGTCGCTAGGAGACCCGTGGCGTCGCTAGGAGACCCGCGTCGTCGCTAGGAGACCTGCGTTGTCGCTAGGAGACCGCGTTGTCGCTAGGAGACCCGTGGCGTCGCTAGGAGACCCGCGTCGTCGCTAGGAGACCCGCGTCGTCGCTAGGAGACCCGCGTCGTCGCTAGGAGACCCGTGGCGTCGCTAGGAGACCCGCGTCGTCGCTAGGGGACCCGCGGCGTCGCTAGGAGACCCGCGTCGTCGCTAGGAGACCGCGTTGTCGCTAGGAGACCCGCGTCGTCGCTAGGAGACCGTGTTGTCGCTAGGAGACCCGCGTCATTGCTAGGCGACCGCTCTCGCTGTACATAGCGCCGGTACTCCCGTCTCGTCGTGATTCCTCTCGCTCGCCATCCCCCCCCCCTCCCCTCTTCCTGTCTCTCTACGCGAGCTTACGGAGAAGGGGGCAGCGATTGCATTGAAATGTCGTCGCCCGTTTTATAAACACACACACCTATATACACACACACACAGTATATATACACACAGTATATATACACATACACATGCACAGTATATACACACACACCTATATACACACACACATACACACAGTATATATACACACACAGTATATTAACACATACACATGCACAGTATATATACACATACCTATATATACACACACACATACACACAGTATATATACACACACAGTATATATACACATGCACAGTATATACACACACACCTATATATACACACACATACACACAGTATATACACACACAGTATATATACACACACACCTATATATACACACACATACACACAGTATATACACACACAGTATATATACACATGCACAGTATATATACACACACCTATATATACACACACACATACACACAGTATATATACACAGTATATATACACATACACATGCACAGTATATACACACACACCTATATATACACACACACATACACAGTATATATACACATACACAGTATATACACATACACATGCACAGTATATATACACATACACAGTATATATACACACACCTATATACACACACACATGCACAGTATATAAACGCGCGCGCGCGAGCACGTGGTGTGTATTTTAATCTTCGCGGGTGGGCAGCAGTGTGATTATCGACGGGGTTTTTGTTGTTGTTGCATCGTGTGAATGCGGAGGGTTCTGCCGGGTCCGAGGGGGTCTGAGGCTCCCTTCGCGAAGAGAGAGAGAGGTGGGTGGGTGAGGAAGAGGAGGCCAATGTCACTCCGTTCCCACCACCGCCACGTCAGAGCCTGCACGCCGGCGATCGCGTTTCTCCCCCCTCCCCCTGCTTGTCCCCCCCCCACCCCGCATTAGATTCGGATTTCTGATTATTATTATTACAGCGATGATGATAACAATAACTACGGCGTCTGTAGCACCTTTAATACAATCTCAACGCACTTGAATAGCGACGGGGGGGGTGGGTAAGAGTGGCTACGTTAATTTCGTAAAAACCCTACCGATATAGAAACGCAGTCCAGCAGCAACCGTGCCATCGCGGTTCGGTTCCAGCTCGGCGAGTGGAAAAACCACACGCGTACCGTGCTGGCCTCGCGTTGGCCCGGCTCTGACGCAGCAGTCGGGGGTGGGGGGGGGGGGGAAGAAAAAAATCCCGTACCATGCTGAGCCCAATGCTGGCTCGGCTCGGATGTGGCAGGTTCAATTCCCGGACCCCTGGCGTTGTTGATGTCTCTCGTCCATGTGGATTCTGCTCATGTTTTCGCTCTGTCTCTGTCGCTCTATCCGCCGCGGTCGGTGGTCGTCGCGTGGATTGTTTCTTCTCTCCGGATCGCTGCTCGGGGTTTACCCCCCTCCTCCTCCTCCGCAGTTAGCGTCGACATGCGCTCAGATCATTTGACTGCCCTCCATGAATTACCGGCATGCGATGATGATGACGACGATGACGGCGATGTAGGCCCGCCGCGACGAGGACCTATCGTCACGTTGCGGCCAGGTCGCCTCTGAAGCTCACGGCTCGGTGGCCTATACCTGGTGAATAATAATAATATAGTTTAGTGTCTTTGTTCGTTCATGCAAGCAATGAAGTAGGCTCAACCTTGCTGGGCTCTTTGCATCGCGAGGCCAGGCCTGCGTGAGCCCCACCCACCCACCCACTCCGCCGCCCCCACCCGTGCCTGCCTCTGTGACGTCAACACCTCACGTGACCTCTGCACGTGCAGGGCACTCTTTGCTATGAACTCGGGGGGTGGAGTGAGGTGAGAGGGGAGAGGTAGGAGAGTTGAGTGGAGGGGAGTGGAGCGAGATGAGAGGGGAGAGGTAGGAGAGTGAGTGGAGGGGAGTGGAGTGAGATGAGAGGGGAGACCCCTGTCATTACCTCCCGTGGCCACTAGTCCACTCACACCTCATCGTGGCTCTATTGTCATTACATAAGGAATACTGGGAACGGGAATCGACATAGTTTTGTAACGATTCAAGGATCTATTAAGCGGGAATCAACCGATTTTTAAGGATACCAAGCTCGATTGATGCTTGATCCATGCTCGATCACATAGCTGTGATATGTAGAATATATATTTTTTATCGTTAAAGTGATTCCTGTCACGTGATTTGTGGATTGCAAAAGGCCACATTGGAGAGTGCCCCCTTGACGCTGATTGGATTCATTTTACATTAACAATAATGTATTATTCATTCTGTCGCAGATTCATTCCTGTTACACATATAACAAGAATGAATCCGATAAATATGATCATAGGTTTCCCCCTTTTTTCTGGCAGCAAAACAGCCGTGTTAAGATGTCAAAACACCAAACTGAAACCCTTTTACAAGGAATCGTGTTACTGCGTTAACCACAATACTTGTGGTCAGAATTCAAACAAAAAAAACCTACTCTGATAATATCTGTGGCATTGTCCTTGAGACTGATTGGTCCACACCAGAGACAGCTTTCTTTCGAGCCCAGTCTCAAAACGGTGTTAGACCAGAGGACGCCAGAAGGGGAAAAAAACTATTCCTATTATCACTATTTGGTACTGGAGGACGGGGGGCCCCTATGAAGAATGAATCCCGTAACACGTGTAACAGGAATTAATCTGTTACACGTGTGTAGTGACTGAATCGGAGACACTAAAAGAGTTGGATGGCACCGTTTATTAACACGCACCAACGGGTTAACACTTCCACATAATCCGTCTAGAGTCGAGAGAGTACAGTTGGCAGACTGCCTGAACGGCGACGCCGAGATGGTGAAGACGACGACAAGAACGGCGAAGACTCCGGCGGCAGCACGCCGGGGATCCCGCTCCAAACGACGACAGCCCCCAGGTCACCCTCTCATGGGCGGGGGGCCCCTCTTATACTGTCAGCGTGGCCTGGCTCCGCCCCCGGCCACGCCCCCTTTCTAGAACCTACCAGCAGGTTCCTGGTGTGCCCCTTCCGTGACCTTTCCCCCAGATCCTCCTCTGGTGTGTCACGTGGCCCGCCGACGTCAGGGCTGCTGTAAGCCGCAGAAACCCCTTCCCCGGCAGCAGCCAGCACTATGTTGCTACGTCGCTAATTCTGTGTCGCTACACATGGAACAGGAATGAATCCGTTACACATGGAACAGGATAAAATGAATGCGC